GTTAATGTAGCTTAATTAATAAAGCAAGGCACTGAAAATGCCAAGATGAGTCACATGACTCCATAAACACAAAGGTTTGGTCCTAGCCTTCCTATTAGTCCTTAGTAGACTTACACATGCAAGCTTCCACGCCCCAGTGAGAATGCCCTTAAAATCACCAACGATTTAAAGGAGCAGGTATCAAGCGCACTCTTAAGTAGCTCACAACACCTTGCTAAGCCACACCCCCACGGGATACAGCAGTGATAAAAATTAAGCCATGAACGAAAGTTCGACTAAGTCATACTAAAAAGGGTTGGTAAATTTCGTGCCAGCCACCGCGGTCATACGATTAACCCAAACTAATAGGCCCACGGCGTAAAGCGTGTTTAAGATATCAACTAACTAAAGTTAAAACTTAACTAAGCTGTAAAAAGCTCCAGTTACCATAAAATAAACTACGAAAGTGACTTTAAAATACTCTGACTACACGATAGCTAAGATCCAAACTGGGATTAGATACCCCACTATGCTTAGCCCTAAACATAAATAATTCTACAACAAAATAATTCGCCAGAGGACTACTAGCAACAGCTTAAAACTCAAAGGACTTGGCGGTGCTTTATATCCCTCTAGAGGAGCCTGTTCTGTAATCGATAAACCCCGATAAACCTCACCATCCCTTGCTAATACAGTCTATATACCGCCATCTTCAGCAAACCCTCAAAAGGCAGAGTAGTAAGCATAATCATTTTACATAAAAAAGTTAGGTCAAGGTGTAACTAATGAGATGGGAAGAAATGGGCTACATTTTCTACACAAGAATATATACGAAAGTTTTTATGAAACTATAAACCGAAGGAGGATTTAGTAGTAAACTAAGAATAGAGAGCTTAGTTGAATAGGGCCATGAAGCACGCACACACCGCCCGTCACCCTCCTCAAGTGACAAAACCAAAGCCACAACCATATTAACCAAACCAAAACACAAGAGGAGACAAGTCGTAACAAGGTAAGCATACCGGAAGGTGTGCTTGGACTAACCAAAGTGTAGCTTAACAAAAGCATCTGGCTTACACCCAGAAGATTTCATACTCCATGACCACTTTGAACCAAAGCTAGCCCATACAAACCCAAACCAAAATACCACAGATACATAAAACAAAACATTCAGTTAAGTCATAAAAGTATAGGAGATAGAAATTATAATTGGAGCTATAGAGATAGTACCGTAAGGGAATGATGAAAGACATTTTAAAAGTACAGAATAGCAAAGACTACCCCTTTTACCTTTTGCATAATGAACTAGCCAGAAATAACTTAACAAAGAGAACTTAAGCTAAGCCCCCCGAAACCAGACGAGCTACCTATGAACAATCTAGAAGGATCAACTCATCTATGTGGCAAAATAGTGAGAAGATTTATAGGTAGAGGTGAAAAGCCTAACGAGCCTGGTGATAGCTGGTTACCCACAGACAGAATTTTAGTTCGACTTTAAATTTACCTCAAAAAAACAAAATTTAAATGTAAATTTAAAATATAGTCTAAAAAGGTACAGCTTTTTAGAATAAGGACACAACCTTTATTAGCGAGTAAATATTGACATCACCATAGTTGGCCTAAAAGCAGCCATCAATTGAGAAAGCGTTCAAGCTCAACAAAAGATGCAACTTAATCCCAACAATGATATATCAACTCCTAACCCACTCCCTGGGTCATTCTATTTAAATATAGAAGCAACAATGCTAGTATGAGTAACAAGAAACAATTCTCCTCGCATGAGCTTATATCAGAAACGGATAAACCACTGATAGTTAACAACCCGATAATATTAACCTAATAATAAAATACTTATCAACCCTATTGTTAACCCGACACAGGCATGCGCACAAGGAAAGATTAAAAGAAGTAAAAGGAACTCGGCAATCACAAGCCCCGCCTGTTTACCAAAAACATCACCTCCAGCATACCCAGTATTGGAGGCACTGCCTGCCCGGTGACAATTGTTTAACGGCCGCGGTATCCTGACCGTGCAAAGGTAGCATAATCATTTGTTCTCTAAATAGGGACTTGCATGAATGGCTACACGAGGGCTTAACTGTCTCTTACTTCCAATCAGTGAAATTGACCTTCCCGTGAAGAGGCGGGAATACCACAATAAGACGAGAAGACCCTATGGAGCTTTAATTACTTAACCCAAATTTATGGCCAACACCCACCTACCAGGCATAAAATACTACCATTATTATGGGTTAACAATTTAGGTTGGGGTGACCTCGGAACATAAAAAAACTTCCGAGTGGTTAAAATTTAGACCTACCAGTCAAAATGTAGTATCACTTATTGATCCAATTATTTTTGATCAACGGAACAAGTTACCCTAGGGATAACAGCGCAATCCTATCCAAGAGTCCATATCGACGATAGGGTTTACGACCTCGATGTTGGATCAGGACATCCTAATGGTGCAGCAGCTATTAAGGGTTCGTTTGTTCAACGATTAAAGTCCTACGTGATCTGAGTTCAGACCGGAGTAATCCAGGTCGGTTTCTATCTATTAAACAATTTCTCCCAGTACGAAAGGACAAGAGAAATAAGGCCCACCTCACAAAAGCGCCTTAAGACTAATAGATGAAACTGAACTTAATCTAGCCAGTTTATTTCCCCATAAGCCCGAGAAAAGGGCTTTGTTAGGGTGGCAGAGCCCGGTAATTGCGTAAAACTTAAACCTTTATCCCCAGAGGTTCAACTCCTCTCCCTAACAACATGTTCCTCATCAACATCATCTCTCTAATCGTCCCAATTCTCCTTGCCGTAGCCTTCCTGACCCTTGTTGAACGAAAAATCCTAGGCTACATACAATTTCGAAAAGGACCAAACGTCGTAGGTCCATATGGCCTCCTCCAACCCATCGCCGACGCAGTGAAGCTATTTACAAAAGAACCCCTACGACCCCTTACATCCTCCATATCAATGTTTATCCTAGCACCTATCCTAGCCTTATCCCTGGCCCTAACCATATGAATTCCACTCCCCATACCATATCCACTAATTAACATAAACTTAGGAGTCCTATTCATACTAGCAATATCAAGTCTAGCCGTATACTCCATTCTTTGATCAGGATGAGCCTCAAACTCCAAATACGCCCTAATCGGGGCCCTACGGGCCGTAGCCCAGACAATCTCATATGAAGTTACACTGGCAATTATCCTATTATCCGTCCTATTGATAAACGGATCATTCACATTATCCACACTCATTATCACCCAAGAACATATATGATTAATTTTTCCAGCCTGACCGTTAGCCATAATATGATTTATTTCCACACTAGCAGAAACAAACCGAGCCCCCTTCGACCTAACTGAAGGAGAATCGGAACTTGTATCTGGGTTTAACGTAGAATACGCCGCAGGTCCATTCGCCCTCTTCTTTATAGCAGAATACGCTAACATTATCATAATAAATGCCCTTACAACAATTCTATTTTTCGGCGCATTCCATAACCCGTTCCTACCCGAACTCTACTCCATTAACTTTACAATTAAAGCCCTACTCCTAACCATCTCATTCCTATGAATCCGAGCATCATACCCTCGGTTCCGCTATGACCAACTAATACATCTATTATGAAAAAACTTCCTGCCACTAACCCTAGCCCTATGCATATGGCATGTAGCCCTACCCATCATCACAGCAAGCATCCCACCCCAAACATAAGAAATATGTCTGACAAAAGAGTTACTTTGATAGAGTAAAGCATAGAGGTTCAAGCCCTCTTATTTCTAGAATAATAGGGCTTGAACCTAATCCTAAGAATTCAAAGATCTTCGTGCTACCAAATTTACACCATATTCTAAAGTAAGGTCAGCTAAATTAAGCTATCGGGCCCATACCCCGAAAATGTTGGTTTATACCCTTCCCATACTAATAAAGCCCCCAATCCTCATCACCATCTTGGCAACAGTATTAACCGGAACCGTGATTGTCATAATAAGCTCACACTGATTACTAATATGAATAGGATTCGAAATAAATATACTAGCTGTCATACCTATCCTGATAAAAAAGTTTAACCCCCGGGCCGTGGAAGCATCCACAAAATATTTCCTTACACAAGCAACCGCTTCCATAGTATTTATAATAGGAGTCACCATTAACCTTCTCTATTCCGGCCAATGGGTGGTATCAAAAGTCTCAAACCCCGCCGCATCCGCAATAATAACCATCGCCCTAACAATAAAACTAGGTCTATCTCCGTTCCACTTCTGAGTCCCAGAAGTAACACAAGGAATTTCACTCACATCTGGCATGATTCTACTAACATGACAAAAAATCGCACCCATATCCGTTCTCTACCAAATTTCACCATCAGTCAACACCAACCTCCTGACATTGATAGCCCTCACGTCAATCCTTGTAGGGGGCTGAGGAGGATTAAACCAGACTCAATTACGAAAAATCATAGCATACTCCTCCATTGCCCACATGGGCTGAATAACAGCAATTATCATCTATAACCCAACAATAACAATCCTAAACCTAATCCTATATATCTTAATAACCCTATCAACATTTATACTATTTATACTAAACACATCCACCACAACCCTATCCCTCTCCCACGTATGAAACAAATTCCCATTGATAACCTCCGTCATCCTGGCCCTAATATTATCCCTAGGGGGTCTACCGCCACTATCCGGTTTCATCCCTAAATGAATAATCATCCTAGAATTAACAAAAAACAACATAATCATCACTCCAACACTCATAGCTATCACTGCCCTAATCAACTTATACTTCTACATACGACTCACATACAGCACTGCACTTACCATATTTCCATCTGCAAACAACATAAAAATAAAATGACAATTCGAACATACAAAAAAGATAACTCTACTACCCCCTCTCATTATCACCTCTACTATATTACTCCCACTATCACCCACACTATCAATCTTATACTAGAGGTTTAGGTTAAACTAGACCAAGAGCCTTCAAAGCTCTAAGCAAGTGTTGTTCACTTAACCCCTGAACCAATCCCCTAAGGACTGCAGGAGCTCACCCCACATCAATTGAATGCAAATCAATCACTTTAATTAAGCTAAGTCCTTGCTAGATTGGTGGGCTTCCATCCCACGAAATTTTAGTTAACAGCTAAATACCCTAAGAACTGGCTTCAATCTACCTTCTCCCGCCGCGTAGAAAAAAAAGGCGGGAGAAGCCCCGGCGGCGTCTAGGCTGCTTCTTTGAATTTGCAATTCAATATGAGAAATTCACCACAGGGCTTGGTAAAAAGAGGACTAGAACCTCTATCTTTAGATTTACAGTCTAATGCTTATATCAGCCATTCTACCTATGTTCATTAACCGATGACTATTCTCTACTAACCACAAAGACATTGGCACTTTATATTTACTATTTGGGGCATGGGCCGGCATAGTAGGCACTGCCTTGAGCCTCCTTATTCGAGCCGAATTAGGTCAGCCTGGCACCCTATTGGGAGACGACCAAATTTATAATGTTGTCGTAACTGCCCATGCTTTCGTGATAATCTTCTTCATGGTTATACCCATTATAATTGGAGGGTTCGGAAATTGACTGGTTCCACTGATGATCGGTGCCCCAGACATAGCATTTCCCCGAATAAACAACATGAGCTTTTGATTACTCCCCCCATCCTTTCTTCTATTACTAGCATCCTCTATAGTAGAAGCAGGCGCAGGGACAGGATGGACTGTGTACCCCCCATTAGCTGGCAACCTAGCCCATGCAGGAGCATCAGTAGACCTTACAATCTTCTCCTTACACCTTGCCGGGGTATCCTCAATTCTAGGGGCAATTAATTTTATTACCACAATTATCAATATAAAACCTCCTGCAATATCCCAATATCAAACCCCTTTATTCGTATGATCAGTATTAATTACAGCAGTCCTATTACTACTATCACTACCCGTACTGGCCGCAGGAATCACAATACTCCTAACGGATCGAAACCTTAACACAACCTTTTTTGACCCTGCCGGAGGGGGAGACCCAATCTTATATCAACACTTATTCTGATTCTTTGGACATCCTGAGGTTTATATCTTAATCTTGCCTGGGTTTGGAATAATTTCCCATATCGTTACATACTACTCCGGGAAAAAAGAACCTTTTGGTTACATAGGAATAGTCTGAGCAATAATATCTATTGGATTCTTAGGCTTTATCGTGTGAGCCCACCACATATTTACTGTAGGAATGGACGTAGATACACGAGCATACTTCACATCCGCTACTATAATTATTGCCATCCCGACTGGGGTTAAGGTATTTAGCTGACTAGCGACGCTTCACGGAGGTAATATTAAATGATCCCCAGCCATACTATGAGCCCTAGGGTTTATCTTTCTTTTCACAGTAGGCGGACTGACAGGCATTGTCCTGGCTAACTCGTCCTTAGATATTGTCCTTCACGATACATACTATGTTGTAGCCCACTTCCATTATGTGCTTTCAATAGGAGCAGTATTTGCCATTATAGGCGGATTTGCTCACTGATTCCCCCTATTCTCAGGCTATACTCTCAATGATACTTGAGCAAAAATTCACTTTACAATTATATTTGTAGGGGTTAATATGACTTTCTTCCCTCAACACTTTCTAGGGCTATCAGGAATACCTCGTCGGTATTCAGACTACCCAGATGCGTATACGACATGAAATACCGTCTCCTCTATAGGCTCATTCATCTCACTCACTGCAGTGATATTAATAATTTTCATGATCTGAGAGGCATTCGCCTCCAAACGAGAAGTTGCAACAGTGGAGCTCACCACAACCAACATCGAGTGATTACATGGATGTCCCCCTCCATACCACACATTTGAGGAACCCACATACGTTATCCAAAAATAATATTAAACAAGAAAGGAAGGAATCGAACCCCCTAAAGCTGGTTTCAAGCCAGCACCATAACCATTATGTCTTTCTTGATTAGGAGATATTAGTAAAACATTACATGACCTTGTCGAGGTCAAGTTATGGGTAAAAACCCCATATATCTCTATGGCGTACCCTTTTCAACTCGGATTACAGGACGCAACCTCCCCTATCATAGAGGAGCTACTTCATTTTCATGATCATACATTAATAATTGTATTCCTAATCAGCTCATTAGTTCTTTACATTATCTCATTGATACTAACCACTAAACTAACACATACAAGTACTATAGACGCACAAGAGGTTGAAACGGTATGGACCATCTTACCAGCCATTATTCTCATCCTAATCGCCCTACCTTCTCTCCGAATTCTCTACATAATGGACGAAATCAATAACCCATCCTTAACAGTAAAAACGATAGGCCACCAATGGTACTGAAGCTATGAGTATACCGACTACGAAGACCTAAATTTTGATTCTTACATAATCCCAACACAGGAGTTAAAACCAGGAGAGCTTCGACTGCTAGAAGTCGACAATCGAGTGATCCTCCCAATAGAAATAACCGTCCGAATATTAATCTCTTCAGAAGATGTACTACACTCATGAGCCGTCCCATCACTAGGCCTTAAAACAGACGCCATCCCAGGACGATTAAACCAGACCACCCTAATAGCCATACGACCAGGACTATACTACGGCCAATGCTCTGAAATTTGCGGATCTAACCACAGCTTCATGCCCATCGTTCTTGAAATAGTCCCCCTATCTTATTTCGAAACCTGATCTGCCCTTATAGTATAACATAGACTAGCGTAACTCATTGAGAAGCTATAAAGCGTTAACCTTTTAAGTTAAAGACTGAGAGTCCTACCCTCTCCTTAATGAAATGCCACAATTAGATACATCCACTTGATTTACTATAATTATCTCAATAATCCTAACTTTATTTATTCTGTTCCAACTAAAAATTTCAATGCACTATTACCCAGAAAACCCAGGACCTAAGCCCACCAAAATAATTAATCAACACACCCCTTGAGAAAACAAATGAACGAAAATTTATTCGCCTCTTTCACTACCCCCTCAATAATAGGTCTTCCAATCGCAGTACTTATTGTCATATTCCCATCTATTCTATTCCCCTCACCTGGCCGCCTAATTAACAACCGCCTAATCTCCATTCAACAATGACTCATTCAATTAGTATCCAAACAAATATTATCAATCCACAACCAAAAAGGACGAACTTGAGCTCTTATGTTAGTATCATTAATCCTATTTATTGCCTCGACCAATCTACTCGGACTGTTACCCCACTCATTCACCCCTACAACTCAACTGTCCATGAATCTAGGAATAGCTATCCCCCTGTGAGCAGGAGCAGTAATTACTGGTTTTCGCTATAAAACTAAAGCATCCCTGGCACACTTCCTACCCCAAGGCACACCTATCCCCCTGATCCCAATACTAGTCATTATTGAGACTATTAGTCTATTCATTCAACCCATGGCCCTAGCCGTTCGGTTAACAGCCAATATTACCGCAGGACACCTTCTAATTCACCTAATCGGAGGCGCCACTCTAGCCCTAATCGACATCAGCACTACCACGGCCTTTATTACTTTTATTATCCTAATTCTACTCACTATTCTCGAATTCGCCGTTGCCCTTATCCAAGCCTACGTCTTTACTCTACTAGTAAGTCTGTACTTACATGACAACACCTAATGACCCACCAAACCCATGCCTATCATATAGTTAATCCAAGCCCATGACCACTAACTGGAGCTCTCTCCGCCCTACTTATAACGTCTGGTCTTATCATATGATTCCACTATAACTCAATATCCCTACTTATGCTAGGACTCACAACTAATATATTAACCATATTCCAATGGTGACGGGACGTGATCCGAGAGGGCACATTCCAAGGACACCATACCCCAATCGTACAAAAGGGCCTACGATACGGAATAATTCTATTCATCGTTTCGGAAGTATTTTTCTTCGCAGGGTTCTTCTGAGCCTTTTACCACTCTAGTTTAGCTCCAACCCCCGAATTAGGGGGATGCTGACCACCCACCGGCGTCATTCCTCTAAACCCACTGGAAGTCCCTCTACTTAACACCTCCGTCCTCCTAGCTTCCGGAGTCTCAATCACTTGAGCCCACCATAGCTTAATAGAAGGAAATCGTAAACACATACTTCAAGCCCTATTTATCACTATCTCCCTAGGTGTATACTTTACATTACTTCAAGCATCCGAATATTACGAAACATCCTTTACAATCTCCGACGGAGTGTACGGATCCACTTTTTTCATAGCCACCGGATTCCACGGTCTACATGTAATTATTGGCTCCACATTCCTTATCGTATGTTTCCTCCGGCAACTATACTATCACTTTACATCTAATCACCACTTTGGATTTGAAGCCGCCGCATGGTACTGACATTTCGTCGACGTAGTCTGACTGTTCTTATACGTCTCTATTTATTGATGAGGATCTTACTTCTTTAGTATATCAAGTACAACTGACTTCCAATCAGTTAGCTTCAGTTCAACCTGAAAAGAAGTAATAAACATACTACTGACTTTAACAACTAATATCGCCCTAGCATCACTACTCGTAATAATCGCATTCTGACTCCCTCAACTAAACATCTACGCGGATAAGGCGAGCCCGTACGAATGCGGTTTTGACCCTATGGGGTCCGCTCGCCTGCCTTTCTCCATAAAATTTTTCCTGGTCGCTATTACATTCCTGCTTTTTGACTTAGAAATCGCACTGCTACTCCCACTCCCCTGAGCATCACAAACTAATAAACTAACAACAATACTCATCATAGCACTACTCTTAATTTCCCTCTTAGCTGCAAGCCTAGCATACGAATGAACCGAAAAAGGACTAGAATGAGCTGAATATGATAATTAGTTTAAACTAAAACAAATGATTTCGACTCATTAGACTATGATTTAACTCATAATTATCACATGTCCATAGTATACATTAATATCTTCCTGGCATTCACCCTCTCATTAATGGGCATGCTCATCTACCGATCCCATCTTATATCATCCTTACTATGCCTGGAAGGCATAATATTATCCCTATTTGTAATAATATCCGTAACCATTCTAAATAACCACATCACATTAGCCAGCATGATACCAATCGTACTACTAGTATTCGCTGCCTGCGAAGCAGCACTAGGACTATCTTTACTAGTCATAGTATCTAACACCTACGGGACTGACTACGTGCAAAACCTGAACCTTTTACAATGCTAAAAATTATTATTCCCACTACAATACTTATCCCTCTGACATGAATATCAAAACCCAATATAATTTGAATTAACACTACATCACACAGCCTATTAATCAGTTTAATCAGCCTATCTTATCTTAATCAACCAAACGACAACTACCTGAACTCTTCATTACTATTTTTCTCCGACTCCCTGTCAGCACCACTGCTAGCACTAACAACGTGACTTCTACCCCTCATACTTATAGCTAGCCAATATCACCTATCAAAAGAACCATACACTCGGAAAAAACTGTATGCTTCAATATTAATTCTACTCCAATTATTTCTAATCATAACCTTTACCGCCACAGAACTGATCCTTTTCTATATTCTGTTTGAGGCGACACTAATTCCGACCCTTATTATTATCACCCGGTGAGGAAATCAAACCGAACGATTAAACGCAGGACTATACTTTCTATTCTATACCCTAGTAGGATCGTTACCACTTTTAGTTGCACTCCTACATATTCAAAACAACATGGGCTCCCTGAGCTTTCTCATAGTCCAATACTGAGCCCGGCCTCTGCCAAACTCTTGATCTAACATTCTATTATGATTAGCATGCATAATGGCATTCATAGTAAAAATGCCCCTATACGGCCTCCACCTGTGACTACCAAAAGCACACGTAGAGGCCCCTATTGCCGGCTCTATAGTGCTTGCAGCCATTCTACTAAAATTAGGAGGGTACGGCATAATACGTGTCACAACTATGCTAAATCCTCTGACCAACTTCATAGCTTATCCCTTTATATTATTATCACTATGAGGAATAATTATAACAAGCTCCATCTGTCTCCGCCAAACAGACCTAAAATCTCTAATTGCGTACTCCTCCGTCAGCCATATAGCATTAGTAGTCGTAGCAGTTCTTATCCAAACGCCATGAAGCTACATAGGGGCAACAACCCTAATAATTGCCCACGGCCTAACATCATCCATATTATTCTGCCTAGCCAACTCAAACTATGAACGAACCCACAGCCGTACTATAATCCTCGCACGAGGACTTCAAACCCTACTCCCCCTAATAGCAGCCTGGTGACTTCTAGCAAGCCTCACAAACCTAGCCCTACCACCAACAATCAATCTAATTGGAGAACTATTTGTAGTAATAGCCACCTTCTCATGATCAAACATCACAATCCTCCTAATAGGAGCTAATATTATTATCACTGCCCTGTACTCCCTCTACATGCTAATCACTACGCAACGCGGTAAGCACACCCACCATATCAAAAACATCAAACCATCCTTTACACGAGAGAACACCCTAATGGCCCTACATATACTTCCTCTACTCCTATTATCTCTCAACCCTAAAATCATCATAGGTTTACTTTACTGTAAGCATAGTTTAACAAAAACATTAGATTGTGAATCTGACAATAAAAGCTCAAACCTTTTTGCTTACCGAAAAAGTACTTGCAAGAACTGCTAACTCATGCTCCCATGTATAAAAACATGGCTTTTTCAACTTTTATAGGATAGAAGTAATCCATTGGTCTTAGGAACCAAAAAGTTGGTGCAACTCCAAATAAAAGTAATAAATATATTCGCCTCCTGCATAATTACAGCCCTAATCCTACTTATCTTACCAATTATATTATCCTTTACTAAACTTTACAAAAACAAACTATATCCACAATATGTAAAAACAACCACCTCCTATGCATTTATAATTACTATAATCCCCACAATAATATTTATTTATTCCGGACAAGAAATAATTATCTCAAACTGACATTGAATTACCATCCAAACTATAAAACTATCCATAAGCTTCAAACTAGACTACTTCTCAATGATCTTCGTACCAGTAGCTCTTTTCGTTACATGATCTATTATAGAGTTCTCCATATGATATATACACTCAGACCCATACATCAACCGATTTTTCAAATATCTCCTTATATTTCTCATCACCATAATAATCCTTGTAACTGCAAACAATATGTTCCAGTTATTTATTGGCTGAGAAGGAGTAGGCATTATATCCTTCCTACTCATTGGATGATGATACGGCCGAACTGACGCAAACACAGCCGCCCTACAAGCCGTCCTTTACAACCGAGTTGGAGACGTAGGATTTATAATTACCATGGCGTGATTCCTACTAAACCTAAACACATGAGACTTTCAACAAATTTTTTTAACATCCAATAATAACCTTGACCTCCCACTTTTTGGTTTACTACTAGCAGCCACTGGTAAATCCGCTCAATTCGGCCTACACCCATGACTCCCATCAGCCATAGAAGGCCCAACTCCCGTCTCAGCGCTACTCCACTCCAGCACAATAGTTGTAGCAGGGGTATTTTTGCTTATCCGCTTCCATCCACTATTAGAACAAAGCCAAACCATTCAAACTCTCACCCTATGCTTAGGAGCCATCACCACACTGTTCACCGCAATCTGTGCCCTAACACAAAATGACATTAAAAAAATCGTAGCATTCTCAACTTCAAGTCAACTAGGATTAATAATCGTTACAATCGGCATCAATCAACCCTACCTAGCTTTCCTACACATCTGCACCCACGCATTCTTTAAAGCCATACTATTTATATGCTCAGGATCTATTATTCACAGCCTAAATGATGAACAAGACATTCGAAAAATAGGCGGGTTATTCAAAACCCTTCCATTCACCACATCTTCCCTTATTATCGGAAGTCTCGCATTAACAGGCATGCCTTTCCTCACAGGATTCTACTCCAAAGACCTAATTATCGAAACCGCCAACACGTCGAATACCAACGCCTGAGCCCTCTTAATTACTCTCGTTGCCACATCCCTAACCGCTGCCTACAGTACTCGAATTATATTCTTCACACTACTAGGACAGCCCCGCTTCACCCCCATAATCCTTATCAACGAGAACAATCCCCTCCTGATTAACTCTATTAAACGTCTACTCATCGGAAGTGTATTCGCGGGATATGTCATCTCCCACAGCATTACACCTACCACCATCCCACAGATAACTATGCCTCATTACCTGAAAATAACTGCCCTCGCAGTAACCATTTTAGGTTTCATCCTGGCACTCGAACTAAACCTTACTATACAAGGACTCAAATTTAATCAACCATCTTACTACTTCAAATTCTCAAACCTACTAGGTTATTATCCAATTATTATACACCGTCTTACCCCAAAAACAAGCCTAACCATGAGTCAAAGTTCAGCATCTATACTCCTGGACTCTATCTGACTAGAAAGTGTCCTACCGAAGTCAATCTCATATTTCCAAATAAAATCCTCCACCCTAATTTCAAACCAAAAAGGCCTTATTAAATTATATTTCCTCTCCTTTATAATCACCATACTCCTCAGCCTAATAATCCTTAATTACCACGGGTAACCTCCATAATCACCAACACCCCAGTTAATAATGATCAACCAGTGACAATCACCAATCAAGTACCATAACTATATAACGCCGCAATCCCTATAGCCTCCTCACTGAAAAACCCAGAATCGCCAGTATCATAAATAACTCAATCCCCCATACCATTAAACTTTAATACCACCTCCACCTCGTCATCTTTTAAAATATAACAGGCAGTCAACAACTCGGACAGTAAACCTGTAATAAAAGCCGCCAACACAGCCTTATTGGACACCCAGACCTCTGGGTACTGTTCCATAGCCATAGCAGTAGTATAGCCAAAAACCACGAGCATACCTCCTAAATAAATTAAAAACACCATTAATCCTAAAAAAGACCCTCCAAAATTAAACACAATTGCACAACCAATCCCACCACTAATAATCAACACCAATCCCCCATAAATTGGAGATGGCTTCGTGACAAAACCCACAAAACTCATCACAAAAACAATACTTAAAATAAATACAATGTATGTTGTCATTATTCCTACATGGAATTTAACCATGACTAATGATATGAAAAACCATCGTTGTATTTTCAACTATAAGAATATTAATGACCAACATCCGAAAATCGCACCCACTAGCCAAAATCGTTAACAACTCATTTATTGATCTCCCCGCACCATCAAACATCTCTGCCTGATGAAACTTCGGATCACTGCTAGGAGTATGTCTTATTCTACAGATTATAACAGGTCTATTTCTAGCCATACACTATACATCAGATACCTCTACTGCCTTTTCATCAGTTACACACATCTGCCGAGACGTCAATTACGGCTGAATCATCCGCTATATACACGCAAACGGAGCCTCCATATTCTTTATTTGCCTCTTCATGCACGTGGGACGAGGCCTATACTATGGATCCTATACATTCATAGAAACATGGAACATCGGAGTAATCCTACTATTCACGACCATAGCTACGGCATTCATAGGTTACGTGTTACCCTGAGGACAAATGTCATTCTGAGGAGCAACAGTAATTACTAACCTCCTTTCCGCCATCCCATACATTGGAACTAATTTGGTTGAGTGAATTTGAGGAGGTTTCTCAGTAGACAAGGCAACCTTAACACGATTTTTCGCATTCCACTTCATCCTCCCATTCATTATCGCAGCACTAGCAATAGTACATCTTCTGTTCCTCCACGAAACCGGATCCAATAATCCCTCAGGAATCTCATCTGACTCAGACAAAATTCCATTCCACCCCTATTATACAATCAAAGACATCCTAGGAGGCTTACTTCTGATCCTAATTTTAATATCATTAGTCTTATTTTCACCAGACCTATTAGGAGACCCAGACAACTATATCCCCGCAAACCCTCTCAGCACCCCTCCACATATCAAACCCGAATGATACTTCCTATTCGCCTACGCCATCCTACGGTCAATCCCTAACAAACTAGGAGGAGTCCTCGCCCTAGTATTCTCAATCCTAATCCTAGTATTCACCCCCCTCCTCCACACATCCAAACAACGTGGAATAATATTCCGACCACTTAGTCAATGCATGTTCTGACTACTTACAGCTGATTTCCTCACGTTAACATGAATTGGAGGCCAACCGGTCGAACACCCTTTCATCATCATCGGCCAAATCGCCTCCATTCTATACTTTACTATCTTATTGATCCTAATACCAACCATCGGTATTATCGAAAATAACCTTCTAAAATGAAGAGTCTTTGTAGTATATTAATTACTCTGGTCTTGTAAACCAAAAATGGAGAGCATAACCCTCCCTAAGACTCAAGGAAGAAGCGCCTGCTCCACCATCAGCACCCAAAGCTGAAATTCTTCTTAAACTATTCCCTGATACCTCACCACCCTCTATTTATATATTGCAATCACCTCCTGTGCCATGTCGGCACGTCCACCCCCTATGTACGTCGTGCATTAATGGCTTGCCCCATGCATATAAGCAAGTACATATTCATGCATTGTCACAATAGACATAAACTACTTAATCATACAATGTTTTATCTCAAGAGCATACTCAAATTGCATATCACCTAGTCCAATAAGGGATTAATCACCATGCCTCGAGAAACCATCAACCCTTGCCTGAAGTGTACCTCTTCTCGCTCCGGGCCCATACCAACGTGGGGGTTTCTATAATGGAACTATACCTGGCATCTGGTTCTTACCTCAGGGCCATGAACTCCCTCCATCCAATCCTACTAATCCACTCAAATGGGACATCTCGATGGACTAATGACTAATCAGCCCATGATCACACATAACTGTGGTGTCATGCATTTGGTATCTTTTATTTTTCGGGGGGGAATCTGCTATCACTCAACTATGACCGCAACGGCACTAACTCTAACTTATTCCTGCACTCAGGGGATATGCCCGTCGCGGCCCTGACGCAGTCAGATAACATGTAGCTGGACTTGCTTTCAATCATTAATCAACTCCGTGCACAATTCAAGGTGCTATTCAGTCAATGGTTACAGGACATAAGAACTTTTTCGCACGTACACACGTACACACGTACACACGTACACACGTACGCACGTACACACGTACGCACGTACACACGTACGCACGTACACACGTACGCACGTACACACGTACACACGTACACACGTACACACGTACGCACGTACACACGTACGCACGTACACACGTACGCACGTACACACGTACGCACGTACACACGTACACACGTACACACGTACGCACGTACACACGTACGCACGTACACACGTACACACGTACACACGTACACACGTACACACGTACACACGTACGCACGCGTACACGCAAGACATCAAGTTAGCTTACACAAACCCCCCTTACCCCCCACAAACTCATGTCTCCCACTATATACTTAATTATGTCCCGCCAAACCCCAAAAACAGGACTAAGCACATGTAGCATTCATAAGCCTTATCTAATTCTTACACAGGTATACAACTCCAACTAACTTAACACGGCAGCCTTACATCTGCCAACCTCGCGGTCTATCTATAGATAGCAGTACCTTAATTTTTCTTTTCCTCCCACTTATCATAAACCTACACCAATAAATATATGCATTAAACATTACAAAAAA